ATCCACTCTTTTGTAAAATATTCTTATCTGTTCATTGTTCAAAAATTTTATTAGAAATGTTATGATGTATGAAAGTGATAATTGATGTTTGATTTTTCTAGTTTACTAATTGGCAACTAATTCTTTCATAAGGAAGCACATACAGCTATCAAAAAACAAAACGATTAGCTTCTAATTTAATCATTTAGATTGCAAATGATTGTATTAGCTATATCAAAAAATAAACTGGACTAATCATTTTGTAAATAATTATATTATATTTTAATGTATATATTAAAATTTTCCCATACCAATATTTCATGGATTTTTTTATCTTTTTTGGTAAAGAATTTTGATTCCCATATACGTACTATCCTGACTTTCACTAAGGTGTGTGCTTGAAAGGGTGGAGATCATGTAAGTACTCTTGAGCCATTATTAACTTGTGTCCAATATTGGTCAAGGAATTGTAGGTAATTTTCAAACAAAAAAAAAGATAAAGTTATTGGTAATGTTGAAAAGTAAGCATGGCAAGAATGGGGTAATATCATGCAAGTTATGCATGGAGGATGCAATGCAAGAAATGAAAATGTATAGATGGTAAAATTAATAAAAAAAAATACAATAAGAATAACATTAAAAAATTATAGACATAAAGGATATAAACCTGTATTTAAGTTATCAAATACCTCCTTGCAAACTATGTTTTTGGTTTGATTGGTAGATTTGCTATCATTATTTGTGACTAGTATTCTTAATCCATTTCTAGATGTGACCCTCGAAAGCTACATATAATGGGCAATAGCTGAAAATGGGCTTGGGCAGGTATGAACCAATCTTTTCAAGTGTTTGTCATTCACTTTTGTTGATGGTCATACCATAGCATAACCTAATAGGAAACTATCTTCTATTAAAAACAAAGGGCCATTTGCAATGTTTGGTTGTTAATACTATTCGTGGTATAGAGACTTTAGTGGTTGCTTGCACGCCAGAGATGATTTTGCCTTCTATGACATTAGGAGCTAATTGTGTGATTATAAGCCTAGTACCATCACATAAACTAGAGTTCTGGTTTATATTTCTAAGTAACATGATCACATAACCAAGTTTTAAATGTAGTGCATGATCTGGTAAATAGGGGAATTTGAGTGTATTTAGGAATTCTATTGGATAAAGTATTTCATGATTTGATATTTGGTTTACTGTTTGTGAAATAGTGTCTACACTAAAGTATGTTTTTATGGATCTTGGTATCAAATCAAGTGCATATGCATTAATTAAGTCTACTATTTCATTATAAGGTGTAACGATCGTTTTTTGTCTAAAGTATGTCAGATATGCATAGTAATTTTCAAAATTATCATAAACAGTTATTATTATATCTTTTACGGGATCATTGCTCATTGGGACTAATAAATCATTTGGTATTGTGATTAAATCTGCACAACCTTTTTTTTCAAGACTTGATAATACTAAATTTCCACCACCAACATCTAATAACTATTGTTCAAATGTTTCAATTTCTTTTATTGATTGATCATTCAGGTTAGCTCTATTAGTCTTATGTTAGTTTTCAAATGAAAAACCTTGCATTTATCCCGTAACGCTGATCGATTTATTGCAGCATTGATAGTATCAAAGAAAATAAAAAGAAAGTAAAGGGAAAATAATAAGGGGGAAGCTTTTTGAATGGATTAAATAGAGCAAAAATATCAAAATGCATGAATTATTTTTTACAAATCTCAAAGGAACCCCAGGCAAAGCATACGAAAAATTTTCAGAAGACCAAAAGAGACTTGAAATCCTTAAAAAATTTCAACAAACCCCATATCTTGTATGGAACTACACAACAAAATCAAAGAGTTAAAGACTTTACTAAAGCCATCTGTGATTCATCATCAGGTAAGAGTTGAGCTCTAAAATAAGAAGTTGAGTAAAACATTGAAGAACATCAACCGCACCCAGTAGATCTAAAGGCTCAACCTAAGAAATCAGCCACGTGTTGTAGCAAACAAAAGGACTCAAAGATAAAGAATAGTCTGACAGATGAACAGTGCCCCATAGATTCGAAACTTACTGCAAAAAATAGCCACATGTCAAATGATTAAAGGTCAAGGTGAAGCAAAACAAGAGGCTTAACGTATCACAATTTTGAAGTCATCTTGGGGCTCCTTTTTATATAGTTATAGATTAATGTTGGACCTAAAACACTCTTTTTAGGTGACGGCCTCAAATAGTCAAGCAGCCACTGTCACGTTGTCAATCAAACTCCACCATTTTGGTTTCCACTTTCCAATAATCGATAGCTACTTAAGTATCCAGCAAATAACACATGCTCCTTCTTTACAAATTACTTAATATTAATCTATTTATAAAAATATTAGAAATCCCTTGTAAAATTAATTAAAGTATTCTACTGCTGGTGTATATAACAGTAATAATTTATAAAATGAGTCATGTATTTGCATATATATGAAACTATCCAAACTAAACATGTAGTCAAACTTACTTTATTTCTTTAGGAAAAAAAAAAAATCCTTTTCATGTTACAGAAAAAGCTCCCAAGTTTTATTCATTTTTATTTTTTTCATAATAAAAGTAATTATTTATCGTTATTTTTATTATAATTTTTTTTAAAATGAAAGAAAAAAATCACAATTAAAGTACTTCATAAGTCCCTATATTATAAATTTTTTATCAATTTAATCCTTCTACCTCAAAACTAATTAATTTAGTCCTTATACTTTGAAATTTTGTACAATTAAGTCTCTCTATCTAACTCTATCCAAATTGACCGTTAATGGTGCTAACATGTCAAATGATGTTGATATGATAATAACATGTCAAAAAAAAATTTTGTAAAGAAAAATTCTCGACACATTGGTTTTTTTTACCATTTCATAAAGATTAAATTGAACAAAATAGCATAGACACTAAATTAAATAAAATGTTATAATATAGGTATTAAATTGAATAAAATTTTACAATACCGGTACTTCGTGGATACTTTCACCATTTTTTTGTTTCACATTACATTTAGCCCTCTTTATAAGCTGAAATGGTATATGAAGAGTATGAAAATCTTGAAACATTGCAATTGAATGCAATTTTTTCCTTATAATACAAAATATTTTAGTTGAATATAATTTCTATTTGTAAAATGAAACTTTGCTATCTTTTGTTTTGTTGATGTATTTATACAATCCAAGAAAAAATATATCATGAAATGACATCATTTTATTAACTACCTATTTGGAATTGAAAATCAAGAAAATGTAACAATTTGATTAAAATTAAAATCAATTACAAAAATATCAACTTTAGTTACAAAAAAAAATTAATAAAAGAATTGTAATATCCATTTAGTTGAAAAATTAATTGATGTAACAGTTAAAATAAGAACTCTAACAGCCAATATAACAAATCAATCAAAATAGCAACCTCACAGCACCATTTGACTTTTCTTATGCTTTCTTAAGTTGAAAGTGGTGCATCATCTAGCAAATCAGTAACTGATGTTTTTGCTTTGCTTTTTATTCCTATTGTGCAATTTTCTATGTTAAAAGTAACAAATTTAACATTTAAATGGAAAAAAATAAAGTAACAACATGATCATGATGATTTCGATTTGCCTTTTTGTTCTTGTTGTGCAATTTCCACGGCAATAGTAACAAATTCAATGTTTTAATGCCAAAAATATGGCGACAATATTCTCAACACAAGACAATAATTAGTTTTCTTTTGACCGATAGCTTTCTAGTAAATATGTAGAATTGTAATTACCAGTTGCAACTATCAATTGATTTCCCTTACCAATGAAGGAATGGGACTACAATTGATTTTACCATTTTGGGAACTAATATTGTAGTTCTTTTATATTTTGAGAATAAGCTAAGAGAAAAGAGGTATGCATGGTATCAGCATAAAAAAAAGAAAATGTTATACGCGAATAAGTATAAGAGAACAAGATAAGGGTGAAAGGAAGAAACTTATACTTCAGGAAATCACCAAGTCAAATTCCCATAACATCTCAATGTGAAAGTAACATATAAATCTTGCCACTCATTCCAAGTCACTTTCACTACAATCCATATGAAGTTGTTATTCCATTTCTTTTAATTGTTCTGGTTGAAGTAGTTGTTCCATTGATTCTAATTGTTTCATGTGAAATAATTGTTCCACTTATTAGTTGTTTTCATTATTTTCTATATAACATTGGATAGCTGTAAAACAACACTTAGAGAAATAATAACTTATTAGCTAAAATCAACTATCTACAATGTCTTGATACATATATTTCATGAGAAACGAACCAATGGAAATATTGATAAACAATTACTCAATATTTCACTTTAGTAAGGAGTTCATTTTATTAAGAAAATAGATAATCAATCAGTTATTTTTTTTACTTTGAAAAAGAATTCAATATTAAAATGAAAATATATAAACAATTAATCCATATGAATTGGCAACTTACAAAAAACTCTCATTACCATGTATCGGTTCTAGCTAGTTACATTACCATTTAGTTGGTGTCATCCCTTTAAATGCTCAATTCAAAATCACCAAGCAATGACAATAGCAAGAAGCAAGAGAAGATTGTTAGTTAGACATGAATATTACTTTGTATAAAAAAAAGAAACCCAAAGTTTTATTTTTGGCTGAAGAAATCTAAGAGTAGAAAAAGTTAAAAAAAACAACTTACGGAGTTGGTAATTTTAATATTAGAGTAATGACAGAGAATAAGACTTGGAGTTTATTGGCCATTTAAGAATTAAGTTGTAGGAGAAGAGATTTTTTCTCTGCTCTTTGTATAAGGTCTCTCCCCCAAGTCACTCTGTTTCTATCCCTCGCTCTTCTCTAGTTCGTCTTCCCTGTTTCCAACATATGCTTTTAAATGATAAACAAATTACATGTTAATATTATTGATAAGCATGCAATTTACAAGTTCTGATTTATTATGAAGTCAGTTTTCTTCATAATTTACATACATACATAAATAACTCAGCTTTGCCTATATATCATTCTTTCATGGAATATTAACATGGAGGGATATATATATTGAAATAAGACCCTTAAGGAAGTACAAAGAGATTACTACTACATTTAAGTACTATTGGAATTAGACGAGGGATTCTCATGTACATGGATAAGTTTTTTCAGACTCACACCTCAAGCCAGGGAAAAAGAAAATTTGTTTTAAGTAAGAGAGAAAGTTTCATTGACATTAGGTGCAATTACAGGTAATTTACATGCCATCACACCCCAAACAAAATCCATATCTCACTGAGACCTCATCCTGTTAAGTTGGTTCAAAGCCGGTTGCAGAATGTTGTAGGCCACCCAAAGAAGAGCTGGAGCTACAACAAACAGAAGAAGGGTACCCCGGTTGTCACTAGATGCAGCATCAGCAATCGTGGCGATCTCACTGGCTGATGCATCCGGTGTTGACATGAACCCAGATGCAGCCAATCCTCCAAGACCTAGACCTATGATCACCCCCTTGGTGCTCCTCATTCTGTCCAGCTGATTAAGTGCTGGCCGGAGGATGTTGAAGAGCACCCACGCTATGGCTGGGATTATGGGAAGCAACAGAGCTAACCCACGGTTATCTCCTTCAGCTATGTCAGCAATCTGTTGAGCAGCAAAGGCAGGATCACATGAGCTCAAGGTCGAAAAGATAGCTCCAGCAATGGTGGTTCCCGCTAGTGAAGAAGGGAGGTTGGAGTTGTCGGCTGGTTTTGAGATGGTGAGGCCTTTGGGGAGGTTCTGCATGGAGAGAAGGGAGATGGGTTTGGCGGATGGCTTTGTGGGGTTGATCATTTTGGTTGAGCTGATGCTCAGACATTTTGCATTGAGCATGGCCGTTGTAGCTACGGTTGCTGCCATTTGATGGTTTGGTTTTGTTTCCGCGGCTGGTCTTGTGTCCTCAGGAAGATTTTGTGGGATGCTGGGAGCTTCTGTGTGGAAGAGAAATGGGCATCAGTTGGCTTTGGCATATAGATTTGATGTCGAGCGAATGGAGTAAGGTCCAATAGAATTATGTTCTCTGGATTCTTCTCTTATCCACAGGGTGTGTTTGGTGAGATATGGACCTCATGTTGCATACCCCACCACAGTTTTCTTATCGCCTCCCGTAGAGGTCAAATTTGTGAACAACAACCACCTAGCATAACTTCATATCTCCACTTCACAGACACGGACTGTGGGCTCGCATTGACAATAGAAATATTAGTTTACACTGTACAGGTAATAGTACTGACCATTATATAGGTTTGCTGCTTTTAGGCTTAAACTTTACAAAAATATATGACCATTTATTCAACTAGACTCTCATATTTTATTAAATTTAAATGAGTTTTTAAATTGAAATTTAAATTCAAACAAATATTTAAGTATTATTGGATCTAATTTTAATTTTTTTTTTCATATGATATATGATTTAATGAACTGAGACAATTATGATTAATATGATCAAATGTATCAAATTTTTTTATCATGCCAGCTTGCTAGGTCTAACATGGGTTAAAATTCCGTTAAAGTTAAAAAACTTGTTTAGACTTATATCAAAATTTAAAAAATCTTTTAAATATAATAAAAGATAAGAAGTTTAGTTGAATAAATGAGCCTAGTAGGAAGGCTATTTTAAGATTTATGCCAAACTGTTATCCGAATTGGAAAAGTCATTTATCACGTGAATGTTTCAAAAAATACCTAAAAGTTTTCAATTCAACCAACAATAGCAAGCTAACCCAGCTCACTCTATCGGCCATCATCATGCAAATCAGGAAATGCACAAAGGCTTAGGCAACAATTTTGCAAAACGGTCCGAGTAATTGGACACTGATTACCCAGCCTCTAGCCTCTAGGCTTAGGCAACAGTTTTTGTCCAACGGGCTCATATACACCATGGAACCCAAAAGCTTGGCTAACCTATCCAAGCCCAAGCTGCAAGGCTGAAACCTGAGGATTAAGCACAATTTATAGGTGCATATTTCACATAATATTTTGATAAATTTTACGTAATTTATTATAATTTAATTAATTATAATATAATATTTTATATGAATAAATTTTATTAAAATAAAAAATTAACAAATGAAATTGTAATTGTTAAATAAAAAATATAATTAATTTGCATTAAAATTAAAGTCATAAAAATATAAAAAATTTCTCGTTAGTGCACCTTGGAGATTTAATTGAACAATATTTTGATCAAATTAGTTTTTCGAGATCCTCATATCACCACAACACTACACGTTTCGGATTTCATCTTTTATCTCATTACCATAAATATCTCTAGTCTATAATTTTATAATTCTTAAAGTGCATTTTTAATTTATTTAAAGGAAATAAAAATAAGTTCATTTATAGAGTATTCATTTAACATCTATCGTTTAATTTATTTGATATTATTTTGCACTCTCTTTAAATACAAGACTTTTAAAATATCTAGTTATTTAAATAATGATACTTATTTAAATCATAAAATTTTATAAAGCATAAATAATATCTCCATTCTGTCAACAACTTGAATCAAAATTTACTAATTCACAACTTTTTTTCCCCTAACTTCGTCAAATAAATCTTGATTACAATAATGACAATTTTAATTTTGAGTTTTGTAAGTCTCAAAATATATATAATTATATTTACACCTATGAAATATAAAGAAAAGAATTTTATAAATAAATGTTTTATATTATATCTGTATTCCACGATTATCCTAAGCAAAACGCACCAACATCCAGAGTCTTTCCTAATCAATAGCCTACCTTCTTGGAACTGCCACGTGACAGAAAACAAAAAAAACATGTGTCATTTCTTACTTTTTTTTTTGGTAAGATATTTTGATAATGCCCACCGAGGTCCTGCTGTGCTCTTTCCCCGGATTTATTTTTCCTTTGAAAAATATATCTCCACATCATCTCCCTCGAACCCGGGGCCAGGGAGCAACATTTGACAAAACCTCTGCAATTAGGGTTTCGTAAAATTATTTTCTACAACTTTAAATTTTAAAGCAAGAAGGAGAATGGCCGCTTCTCTCTCGTTCAGACCGAACATGCTCCTCGTCCTAACTCCTTTCGTTGACCGAACCGGACCCCCCAATCCTCTTTTAAATCGAACTCAGTTTTCAGGTTTTTCAGCTCACAGACCATTTCTTCGCGGTTCTTTACCTGTGGCTAAATTCGGGTTCAAACCGGGACTTTTTCCTGACCCGGATGCTTACGAGGGTGTTATGAGGGAGCTGTTTACCAAAGCTGAAAGCGTTCTCTATACGATTGCTGACGCTGCCGTTTCGTCTTCTGACACTATTACTACAACCACTTCTACTAATCAAAATGATTGGCTTTCGGGTATCACCAATTCACTGGAAACTATTTTGAAGGTAACTTCGGAAGATTTTCTTTTTCTTTGTTTTTCTAACTTGGGTAATGATCTAATGTTGTTTGGATTGAATTCGTTCAGGTTCTGAAAGATGGGTTGTCGGCTTTGCATGTTCCGTACGCTTACGGTTTTGCTATTATACTTTTGACTGTGCTTGTTAAGGCTGCTACGTTTCCTTTGACTAGGAAACAGGTTTGTTATTTGAATAAAACCAAACAAACTAGTAGAACCAAATTAGGAAAAGAAAAGAAGTTAATTCTCCACTCAAATATTTGTTTATTTATTTTTGGGATTTTCTTGTTAATTTTAGATTAATTCATATCATAGAGAAAAAAAGTGGTTTGAGTTTTGTGAATGTGTTCTCAAATTTTCATTTTGCACACAGGTAGAATCTGCTATGGCCATGCGCTCTTTACAGCCTCAAATAAAGGCTATTCAGCAGCGGTATGCTGGAGATCAGGTGAAATTTTGCATTTTGTTTAAGCGGGGATGGTTCTTTTGTTTGGTTAATATGCCTAACGAAACTGGCAGATATTTCTAGCCGTTAGTTATAGATTAAATAGATGCTTATTGCTTTAGCAGCAGAAGAAGAAAGGAAAAACGAAAACAAAAAGGATGATATCAATTGAATGTTTGCAGCTTTGGACTGTTTGATGTAGTTTCTTGGTCTGATGAAGCCATTCTAATCTTTGAGCTACTTTTCTTTACTACTTGCAGGAGAGAATTCAACTTGAAACTGCTCGATTATATAAACTAGCTGGGATAAACCCATTAGCAGGTACTCTAGAACATCTTATTCGCATCACAGTGCCATATTACTTTCAGTAACTTATTTAGATTCTGCATAGACTGCTCTCTGTTTTACGTTCCTAAAGATATTGCATTCCATTTACTTTATTTTTTATTTCACCAATTTTGTTGATGGTATCGTTCTACTTCCACTGTGTTCTATCTCTATTGTAGGGCCTTAACAAAGGTTTAGACTTTTGTGTCTGTATGTATGGCAGAAATTCAAATCTTGGAATTGGGATCTTAATAATTGTAAATTGAATACTACCATCTTCTGTTTTGCTGCCCTTTTTTCCTTTTTGGATGATGCATGTCAAAAACAATCCTGCTTCATGCAAAGGAGAAAGACATGACATCAGATTTATCGTTGCATCTGTTTGCTTTGTAAAAGTTGATGTCATCTTCCCATTTTATTGCATCTTTTATACTTCACACATTGTTATTGACTGATTTATTTCTACGTCTATTTGTTCTCTCTCCACAGGATGCCTGCCTACTCTTGCCACAATTCCAGTGTGGATTGGGCTTTATAGAGCCCTGTCAAATGTGGCAAATGAGGTAGCATACTGTTTGTGTTGTTTTACTAATTTAACCTTCTGTTTCCTTCAGCTCTCTTTCATCTCTAATTTTATGTTTGCATCTTTTGTTAAGGGACTCCTCACAGAAGGCTTCTTTTGGATACCCTCCCTGGCTGGTCCAACTACAATTGCTGCTCGACAGAATGGCAGTGGTATCTCTTGGCTTTTCCCTTTTGTAGTAAGTGCCTTAATTTGTTGATATATATATATATTACTTTGGGTTAAATTAATGGTTCAACGTCTCTTGCCTAATTGTGAAATTGTTATCTGAAAGTGCTGGAGTTTATTCTGTTTCTTGGTGGTCTGGTTGTTTTCATAGGATGGACACCCACCCCTTGGTTGGTCAGATACATTGGCATATCTTGTGTTGCCTGTTTTGCTGGTTCTCTCACAGTACATCTCTGTCCAAATCATGCAATCAGCACAGGTCAGTCATTCCATCATTATCTAATATGGCTGTATGTTAGTTCCTTTAGCAATGACAGAAATTACTCCTAAAGTGCCCCATTCAAGACTATTGTTTCCATTAAAATATAATTTAGTAAGATTGTGAGAAGCTAGTTGTTTTTAATGTCCCTACACTTTGTTTCTATATGGCATGCTTCAAAATGATGTTGGCTAGTGTGTGAGAAATATGATAGTTTTCAGAGGTGCATTGCTTTTCTAGTTTTGCGTGTTTAAGTTGTCCATAACTGACTTGAATCTTGGGGAATTACCTCTGTTTCATACAATATTACTCCATGTCTAATTTTAAGAAGAAAGGGATCTTAAATCTAAGTTAATTTATAATCTTAGCGATAACAATGTGTAACCATTTGATATTTATGACTTTTTCATTGTATGAGCAGAAAACTTTTTCACCTTTTTCATCCTGATGATTCTGATATGTGATGGTGGTTGAATTATTGTCTCATCATGTTGGCAGAAGTTGTCAAGTACTATTTGTTATCTAAATACTGCTAATTGTTGGTTGCTTATTTCCATCTAGCTTTTGGATGACTTAGGAAGCTTTCAGCTTCATGATTCATAAACTATGTAAATTGAGGCTAGAACTGATTTACTATTATCTAACATTTTTTTTAACTTTTCTTAGAGCAATGATCCAAACATGAAGAGCTCTCAAGCCCTGACGAAGTTCCTCCCTCTAATAATTGGTTATTTTGCTCTTTCAGTTCCTTCGGGTCTAAGTCTATATTGGTAAGCAGATGCATAGCTATTCCATTCGAAAGTATTATAAGATACTCAACTTTATGTTTCCTTCTTTTTGTAATCCTTTCCTGTTAAAACCTTGCAACGTTTCTTAACCTTAATTATGTATTTGCAGGTTCACAAATAACATATTAAGTTCAGCACAACAAGTATGGCTTCAAAAGTTGGGGGGTGCAAAGAATCCAGCGAAGCAACTTAATGATGATATCATCAAGGAAGAGCAACTTCGGCTTCAGAAATCTCTCTCTGAATTGAATGGCACCAGAAAGGAGGCAAAACAAGAAGAAAAGTTGACACCAGAAGGGCTGCGCCCTGGTGAAAGGTACTGTTAAATTTGCTGACTTTGGAATGGCCTTTCTTGTAACTACAGTTGCTTATAGATCTTATGTTTTATATCTTCCAGATTTAAACAGTTGAAGGAGCAAGAGGCAAGAAGAAAGCGGCAAAGAGAAGAAGAAAGGAGGGAAGCTCAAGTGGCAGCAGCTAAAGCTGATCTATTAACAGATGAAGGACATGAGGTAGAGGGTAGCACCACTGAAAGGGAAAATGGTGCTGGAACTGGCTTAAGCATTGAAAAGAATGAAAAATGTCAACCTGTTTCAGGCCAAGATTCCTCCAATGTAGGAATTGTGAATGGTGACCTCTCTAATCAGGACTTGACGGAAGATCAAAAGAATGCTTCCTCGTCAAGCAAGAACAGTGAATCTCTGGAACATGTAAAGAAGGTGTGACTGTTAGTTCTTGAGTCTGGTTTCCTATTTACCTCTGATAAAAAGAAAATTACTGGAAGTTCTTGACTGCTGAACTACAAGGTGGTCATATTGTTTCTTATGTTATAGAGTAACCTTAAATTTATTCAGGAAAAAGAAAAATAACACAGTTGAAGTCTGTTAATAGGGCAAGCAATCCAATGTTTAGGTCTCCACCTGCATCTGCCTTGTAGTCTGAACTTGAAAAATAATTTTTACAGCATTTTTGGATTTATTTTTTCAGTAGTGTCTTCATTGAATCCAGAGCAGAGTTCACAACTGCAAATAGCCTCCTCAGACTTATAATAGCTCTTATTCTTTTAATTTCATTGTTTTGTAATGGTATGAACTGCCTTATCCTTTGATCCTCCCATCTTTGCTTTATTGATGACAAACTTCAAATGTACGCAGAAATTAGATGATTGAATGCTGGACTCGCATGTACACTTGTTTTTTAGCATAAATTTTTAAGTAGAAGAGCTGGAAATTAGAAAAGACTTTCTTTTTAATTTTGTTGTTAATCATCATTCACTTTTATTCAATATTTAGTTCAATTTTTTAATTATTTTGAAATTTACTGTATATTAGGGAACCGTTGAAGTATATACTAGTACAGGCACGACAGATAACAAACATGCTGCACAAGACACACAGGAAGCCAGGAGGGAGTGACAGGAAAAAGAGAAACATGGTAATGATGAAGCCTGTACCTGAATTCAACCAAGAGTGACAGGAGCAGTTGATTTGCGTGTTGCGTTGGATGCAGGGGGCAGAATGATACTCCTCCCTCCATAGAAAGTCTGTGCAGCTCATCAACCATTATTAATATGTTCAAAATGGTGTCTTTGGGCTTTGATGGAGCGTGTGTTGCCCTTTGGTGATATCTGGTTTATACCTGGTGCATCTGCAGGAACAGCTAAACAAGCAAAATACAGGACAATATAAGATTTTGGAGGTTTCAGATATACCTGTTGTAAGAGCTCAAACACAACTGATTCAATCAATGATTATTCTGTTCAAGTTTAATAGTAATGAGTAAAAAGTTATGTTCATGCTATTTTTCTTGCACACTCGTTTGGATTACCAGATATTACTAGTATTTAAGAAACAACGCTACTAAATGACAACTGCTTGGCAAAGCAGCCATTGCTTTCATATTGTTTTGTAAATGTGGCGGTCTCTTTGAAGGAATGTTAAGAGTGCCGGAGTCTGGAGTTGGTCCGAATTTCTTGTGTACAAAAACAATAGAACTAGCAGGTGCACGTGTTGTTTGAGTTCACTAATATCAGCTCCTTTTTCTTACAGAAAGATCCGGGAAAAGAACACTTGGACGAGACTTGGAACATCCGCCGTTGTCAGATCGTTTCGACACTCTGGGGGCCTAACCCAGTCCTCAGAACCCAAAATGGCCTAACCCAGCGATGCTAAAAACTCTTCCCGACGCAAACTAGCTCAGAAAATCCAAAGAAACAAGTAGCACATTCTTACACATCTTTTAAATAAAATTGCATAGAAGTTACACTTACAGGCAGGCATGACAAGAAAGGTCTCCGAATCAATTTATCTATTCTTGCGGCTTGGTCCCTCACTTGCATATATTATTAAATGAAAGTCACAGTTTCAATTACAATTACAAACTTCTCCTGTAATCATAATCCGTGTAGAAAATGAAAAACAAATAGTCCTAACTTGTTCGTTTCATATGTTAGTGCTATAGACTTATTTAAGATTCACAAGTTGACTACGTCTTATCATCACAAATGTGGAAAATGTTGGGAAAGTTTCCATGTCTCTGTGCATCCAATAATTCAGGTTGTCTAGATAGATTCCAGCCGTCCGATTGTCATATGTCCATGTAACTTTATAATATTCTTTTTCTTTTTAGATAACAACTTAAACTTATCTTTTTCTCAATTAATTTGAAAATTTTTAAATTCGAACATTTAACTCAATAATTGATACATAATGTTAAAATGTTAGATCAAAATTCTCTTCCTCAAATAAAAAAAGAAAACATTCTCTGCAGAACTCGATCAATCTTATGAAATAACAATTAGTATAAATTGTTTTTTTCATGTGAGATATTAGACAATGATTCATGTGGTGAAATGGCATAGCTTTGGCTATAATAAGAAATCAGCATTAGACAAGTCATAAAAGGTTGGCGTATAACATCACTATCTTGTAAAATTAATGACTTTCACATTAGAAATTAGTCTTGCTTTATTTGTTATAGGATGACAAAAATGGTAGATGTTCCCACAGAAGTAACCATCACTAAAACTAACATCTCGGGATTGTGCCCAATGCAAGCATCGCTAATGCTGTGACTGTGCAATAACAAGGAGAGCCAGGTTTCGAATTTACAGGGCAAATAGTCAAATGGTGAAATTGCAGTGTGAAAAGAGACATCCTGGATTTCGCATGAAGAAGCACATGAATCATGTTTTACGGTTGTGCTTTCCTTTTCACAGAGTGGATTGTCTTCTTTTAACTCTTTGTTTTTTTCTGTCACAATGTGATGTATATTTAAACAATTAATATCATTACTTGCAATGCTGCTTTACTAGTTGGGGACACCACTAGAGACGGGTGCTTTGTCCGCAATTATGTGACATAAGGAGGGGGCAACACTCATCAAATATATAACTATTCGAAAGATTTCAGAGCTTAAACCTTTTGATCTTCAACCTCTGGCACACATGCTAATCAAGTCTGCCGCAGGCTTCCTTTATATTTGATCCAACTTAATTTGCAAGAAGACCTCCGATGGAAACAGGGGCCAATAATGCACTCTATGTTAGAAATTGATATCGGTAAGCTTAGTTTCAATAAATTCTCATCCTATTTAAAATTATAATTAAGTTGACAAGTTATCAGTTAAATCTTTATGCTCAAAATCAAAAGTTCTACCGTCCAACTGAAGCACCTCTTCTGTTTGGTTTTTCCTTTACTAAAAGAAGTTGCAACTTGGTAGTGTTTTGGTGAACTCTAGTGATCATTCCTTTACTAAAACCTACCTTTAATCATGGTGCACCCCAGGGCATTTATATTTGTCCATATGTCAGAAATCCATTGTCTTTTTCTTCATTGATTAACCGCCAATTGAAGATTTCTTTATAGAAAAAGAAAACGTTAAAGGCTTAGTAATTTATTCAGCTCCTTTTACAATTGTTGCATCAGAACTTATATTATATATTGAAATGCAGAAACAAGCTTTTCCGGAAGAGGACACTGCTTCAGTCTGTTTCATACCTGGTTATATTTATCAAGTTGGTTAAAAATCTCGCGAATAATGGATGATGAAGCTGACCCCATCGGCTCCTTCCATCATTGATGTAGTATTCCCAAATGGGAGCGATTAGCAAATAAACTTTAAAACACCAGACCAATAACCTTCAGACACGTACTTGAGCATATTCTCCCCAAGGTTTTCGATGTGATAATGTTAACAGAAGAGAAGCCTCAGGTGTTTAAAGAATCAAATAAATAACTTCCCAACAGTATATTGATTGAAGCACTAATGATCTCAGTTGAGCATAATATGTATATATAAATCCACACTCATATTGAGGTATTGGCTCAATTTATACATTATTTTCTGCCAAATTAAATATCAGTAGTAAATAAGTTTAATCATCTTATTTAACTTGGTTTTTGTTATCAGCCATGGCATTGAAATACATTGGATGCCAACAGTAAAAATAAATTTACGAGTGTAAAAAAAATTTATTACTAGTAGTAGTATTATATTAGTAGCTTTTGTTTCTGTGATGGCTGAACTCAGCAAACTAAAGTGGGAAAGGACGGACCCTTTACTGCATAGTAAAAATTGGGCAAGAATTACAAAGTCATAATAAGGCTTTCTTAGCTTACATGCAGAATTTCACAGCATGCAATCGAGTGTAAACCAAGTCGTTTTCTCTGCCTTACAAGGAAGCTGCAGCATCATGAAAAGCATTTTTTTTCCTATAAATTAACAAATGACAGCTAATGAAGAAAGGTATGTTTCTTTTAACTCATGGCACCTTGATGGAGAGGTCCACTCAAGCTGCTTTACCAGGCTTAAGCTTCAAAAACCCATTTTCTTTTAGTTTACTTCTGATTTCGGAGGTTAGAGGAATAGGTCTGTTGGCACTAGGATTGTGCACGATGGATTCATGTTGCTGTTCCATTCCTTACACTGAAACTTTGAGGACTGATGGAAACGAATCAACAGAGAACATCAAAGGATACCCATTTTAGTTACTTTGTTCATTCTTCTTTCCTTTTTTATTTTGGACCCTCCTTTAAAGCTCATTCACCTACCCTTTCTCTATGACCTCCCTTTTCTCTAAAGAATCTTAACTCAAGAACTTTACAGTTGCACCTAATAATCATTTTTGTGAGTTTAGGTTTCTCTCCACTCCTTTTGGATATAATAGAGTTTGACCCCAATCACCACCTGTTGATAGAAAAGGATGCAAGAGCTGTGAAAGGGACTCTGAATTACAATCAGATGAATCCAAAATCACACTTGGATGATCTATTTCTACAAGTCATGTTTCTATCGATTTCATTTAATAGTGAAAGCCAGACTTTTAGCGTAAGATATTCTTTGTAACAATTTCAGCAATCAGAAATGGATTCAAAATTCTTTAATTTGTCGAGCACATTAGACTATCTAATCTCTAAGGTGCTTTAAGGAGGGATCTCTATAATTGCTCGTATGACTTGAGTTTCAATGCACATTAAATATATTTTTGTTGACCAACTAAAATCTTCAGTGTCAGTTTCGAGTTCTAATAGAATTTATTAGTTTGGTAAGAAGCACTCTCACTAAATATTATTTGTTCTTCTTACCAAAATTTACTACTAGACAATGATCTTAATGCTAAAAGTTTGGAAAAAAAGTTGTGTTCATTTGCTAGTATTCATTGAATACCAAACATTTGAAAAAAAAAATTGTGTTTATACATTGAATAAATTCAGTAGTGCTCCAAACTTAAATTTATTATTTTCATTCATTATTTTTATGAGTCCTATAAATTAGGTAGTGCTCCAAACTTCAATTTATTATTTTCATTCATTATTTTTATGAGTCCTATTTATTGACTATGTAGAAACAAAAAGAATTGTACATAATTAATTATAATAATCTTGACTCACCGATTATAAATAATTTTTACTTTTGTTATGAATATTTGTGAATATTCTTTGTATTTCATCATATCCAGTGTATCTTCTCATATCTAATGAACCTCTTTATATCCAATGTACATATTTATGTAAGTACATCTCTATTGTCTAGATCTGTTCATTCCTCTATTTCTCCTCCATCTATGTAAGCCTATAAATAGAGGCATTATAATTGATGATATATGATATAAAATATAAAGAAAGATATACAAAGAAAATAATTGAGAGAAAAATTGAAATAAGAATTGAGAAAAAAACTATTGGTTTATTTCTCATGAGAGAAGAACTTCTGGTTTATTTCTCAATATTTTTGATTATTATTGATTGTTAATTTTCATCAAGTACAATGCCTTGTTTATAGGATTACATAGATGTGGATATTGATGAACCACCATAAATATATACATTGATTATGAATGGAACTTGAAAGGTTGGGAGATTCAGTGGACACATTCATTTATTCATAACATTCCTCCTTGAATGTCCATTGCATCATGAAAACAGTGTTTTAAAATTCTACCTCATTAGAAACCTTAACCCTAAAAAATCAAATGGGACAAAAACTAGACAAAAGAAAAATAAAAGCGCCATTTAGATGAAGCACCATTTCAAGGGCTTCATAGGACATGCTTCAAACTGCATCGTTAAAAACCTTAAGCCAATAAAACCCAAAGGGACAAAAACCAGACATAAGAGAAAAAGAATATAGTACATAGTCTATAATCTGCTCCCCCTCAATTGAGCCATATTGCCACTTTCAGGGCATTTGATATTTTGCCGCTTCAAGGGCAAATTAATCTTGCATCCTATTAACTTACCCCATTCCAATGGCATATACTAATTTCTCAAATGTTGACATTGGCAATGATTTGGTAAAAAGATATGCAAGATTATTGGAGGAGCGAATCTGTTTAACGTCAACTTGTCGACTTTTTTGAAGTTTGTGAGTATTAAAAAATTTCGACGAGATATGTTTGGTCCTATCTCCTTTAATATATCCTCTCCTGACTTGTGCAACACAAGCAGCATTATTTTCATAAATTATAGTGGGAGAATTTATAACTGGTGTTAAACAACAAGAATCATGAATATGTGCTATAATGGATCTCAACCAAACACATCCTCTTCTAGCCTCATATAGAGCGATAATCTTAAAGTGGTTGGAGATTGTAATTACTAGTAATTGCTTAGTAGAGCGCCAAGAAATCATAGTGCCATTATAGCAAAATAAATAACTAGTTTGAGAGCGAGCTTTGTGCGGATCAAATTTATATCCCACATTAGCATATCCAACTAAACTAAATTTAGTGGAATCCTTGGAATAATATAACGCTAAATCTATGGTTCCTTAGAGATAATGAAAGATATGTTTTATTCCATTCCAATGTCTCTGTGTTGGCTCAGAATTAGAGCAGGCCAGCAAATTTACTACAAAAGCAATATTCGATCTTGTACATTGTGCCAAGTACATCAAAGCCCTAATAACATTGAGCTATGGTACTTTAGGACCAAGTATTTTCTCATCAGACTCTTTAGGATGAAATGGGTCCTTTTGGGGATCAAAAGACCTTACAACC